TTCTGCATTACAGGGTGCATCTGGAATCATTTTCCCGATTATAAAAGCTGAGGGAGTTAGACAGATGTTCTTCCCTGCCACTCTTCCTGCCTACTACAGAGCTCCCCCTGTTTAATAGGTTGCTATTAGTCACATTAATTTCCAAAAAGAAAAAGAAAAATGTAAGGAAAATAGTAGATGTTCTCTGTTTAGTCAAGACCATGATAAACGTAGTAAGACCAAAAAAATAAGTTGTAAAACATTTGTGAAATAGTGGATCAATTATCTTGAAACGATTCCCTCTTTGAACTGGAATTACATATCTCCAATTATTATGTGCCATGTTTTGAATTGTAATAAAAATTAAACCGTGCTCAGACTGCGAGATAATTGAGACTGATGTGTAAGGGTATCAACATCTTGGAGGCGTCATGTTTTTCTGTTTCTAGTTTGTTTCGGTTGGACTAGCCGCTTGATACTCTACCTTCTTTCCAACATAATCAATATAAAACACTTTGTTCAGACAATGAAACTTGATTATGACATTTTATGCAAGAGATTATGCCAAAAGAAAAATAGATCAAAATAAACAACTCTTGATGAAAGAAATGTAAATTGAGTCTAAGAAATTAGCCATCAACAATAGTGAAGTCCCTCCTGATGTTATCGAACCTTCAATTTAATAAAGTTATCGTGATGTTGTCAGATCATCATTAAATTATGCTCGGTTTTATTATTCTCCACTCTTCAGATACGCATGACATTTGTTTTCAATCTTTCAATTTTGTAATGAACTTTTTCAGACGACATTGTTCATTAATTTGGAACTAGCAAATGCAAAATCAAATATTACGGAAGTTAAGTTTTCACGTCAAGCCAAGTTTCATAAGTAATTATAAGGTTGAGTTCCACCAAAAGGTTGTTTACAATTGTTCATCTTACATTCATTCTACAGCAATTTACATAATTGATCAAATTTGCAGATTAAGTTAATAATAATTATCCAGTGTTCGTAAATTTGATGATACGTGCAATAGGGTTAGTCACCGTCAAATCACACAAACGAACTAACAGAATTACCACTTCACATTCAACATTAAAACCCATCTTCAAAGTTCAAACCATCACAAAACCACCAGTAACAGAAAATTACAATTAAGCCCTCTCACCCCTAATCCTCCTCGCAAGCTGGATATCCTTGGGCATAATCGTGACCCTTTTGGCATGAATCGCGCAGAGGTTAGTGTCTTCAAACAGGCCGACGAGGTAAGCCTCCGCCGCCTCCTGAAGCGCCGCCACGGCGGAGCTCTGGAACCTCAGATCCGTCTTGAAGTCCTGTGCAATCTCACGAACGAGCCTCTGGAAAGGCAGCTTACGGATCAAGAGCTCCGTGGACTTCTGGTATTTCCGGATCTCACGGAGGGCTACAGTGCCGGGCCGGAAGCGGTGGGGCTTCTTCACTCCGCCGGTAGCCGGAGCCGATTTCCTGGCGGCTTTGGTGGCCAACTGCTTGCGCGGCGCCTTGCCGCCGGTGGACTTGCGGGCAGTTTGCTTCGTGCGAGCCATTTCTAGGGCTTTTTACTTCTGTTGGTTGCTTAACTTGGAGAAATAAAGTGAGAATATGACGATATGAAAGAAATTGGAGGTGAAAATGGTGGACTCGTGAAGGGGATTTTATATTGAAGATCGGACTGCGAAAATTTCCTTTTGACGATGAGAGTTATTGGAACCGTTGATTGCTATATCTTAATCAAGGGTTGTTGTTTACTTCAAATAATTGCACCCAAGATCGATGACATGTAAAGGATACGGATTGATGACTTGGCACACTGGTTCGGAATTTTGTGGATAGATTGGGCAGTGCCCCCATCATCCATCCCCAGGGGCTGCAGTCATGGATCTATAGCTGTTGATTTAGACACGTGTCCATATGCTGTGTAAAATAAATTATATTTATTTTGTAATTTTTAGAGATTTGCTACAACTTTAAGAATTCTTGTAAATTTAATTTAAATGTTTTAAGACTTGTAATTTGTAAAAGTCTTGACTCTTGAGATATTCTTTGAAATTTCAAGAAGTCTTTAACAAATCATGAGTTGGTTTAACTTATTTGACACTGAAATTTAATAAGACTTTTTAAGATGAGCTGAAATTTCATAAACAAAAACCTTATACGAAATCTCATCTTCAGACTTAACATTTCAAATGATTTCTCTTAAATCTTAAAATCTCAAAAAGTCTTTGAATGTCTTTATAAATTCCAAATGAAAATTAAATTAGTGAAGGAATATTAAGTAATATAAAATGACTCTTGAATATTAATACTAATTTTTATCTTTGAGTTTACTTTTGTGATATATATATTAATAGTATAATATATGATTTATAAGTTTATTTTACTCGTTGTTAAAAAATAATTGTTATTTTAGAATTTCTAATTGAAAAACATAAAAATTTAATATATTCAAATCTTATCAATAAATAATTCTCACAAAAATACTTCTCTCCCTTCTCTTACTTTTACATTATTATAATATATTATTTGATTCCTAAAAAATGATGGTAAAATTGAAAAATAGTGAAAATATTATTATAAATAGACGCTTAGAGGGAATGTATTTGTTTGAGATTTCAAAAGACTTTGAGATTTTGGGGTGTATTTGTTTTGGATTAATGACATTTTGAGACATAGGGTTCTTTCGGAGTCCACTAGTGGTGTTAGGGGGCTCGGTTTGGCGGTGTGGGGAGCTTTCTTGGTGTTTTTTGGCTTTGGGAGAATTGGCTTCGAGTGGGATTCGTGGTATGAGTTTCGACTCAACTAGGCAGTTTGGCAGTGGAGGGGTCGCTCTTCTCATGCTGTGGATCCCCCTAGGTTGATTTGGTGGTTGCTAGTGTGGTTAGGTTTCCGCTGAAGAGGGAGGGTTTGTGTGTTTTCATATTGTCCTTTCAGTGTTTTTTGTGTGGTTTTGTCGAGTCTGTGTTTGGTGTGTTCGTTTGCTTTTGTTTGGGAGATGAATTCAGGCTAGGCATCGTGCAGTGGCTCTGTGTTTCATTTTCCTTTTTTTCGTTTTGTTGAGTTCTCTAGGCCGCCATGTGCGTGTCTTCTCAGTTTGTTATTTCTGTGGTTTTTTAGGCGTGTTTTTGGTTTGGGCTGTTGGCCCCTGTCTCATTATCCTGTTGGGGCCTTGTAATTTGTTCCTTTTGCACTTTTGTGCTCTTATATATTACCTCTATCGTTCGCATATATTTTTATAATTAGTTTTATAGTGTATAATAACATTTATCTATATACAAAATAATTGTATTTATTTGTATCATTAGTTTTATTGTATAATATATAATTGTATATATTTTTATTATTATTATCATTATCAAATTAAACGTTAAAGTGTTAAACTTATTATGTAAGGTTTTTGTTTATTTTGTAAATTGTAAATTTGTAATAATACTATAATATATGTGATTTTCATTTTTTTTAGTTGTGCTTTTAGAGTTTTAGTTTTGAATGTTGAAAATGTCTACATTTGAAACTTTTGCATACGGATATTAAAAAAAAGAAAAAAAAAAGAGAAAATTACTCTATGCACTAACTCAAACATAAAATATTGCATATATATTAAAATAATTGTTTATTACAAACATACAAAAGCTGACATAAATATTTGCATACATACAAGATTATCTCAAATTCTAACTTACATTTTTAATGGGATTTCTCTTCTCTTAATTTAACTTTTCTCAAATTCTAACTTACATTTTTAATGGGATTTCTCTTCTCTTAATTTAACTTACCTTTTTTCAATTGGTAATTGCTCAAAATTTAATGGCATTTCTCTTCCTCAACTCACGCACGATGTTCTTTTTCTTCTTCTTCTTCTTAAAACTCCCAATGCCGCAGAACGGGAGCTCATGTGGAACCTTTTCTTTTAAACAATTAGAATCCGTTTTTGCTCAATGGATAGAGCCATGCTTTAGCCCCAAGTGCAAGGGCTATTAACATAGCGCCTGGTGCAATTAGGTAATAAACTTAAAACTGATTTTTTTTTTTTTTCGATTGGTCGGAGACCGGCGACTCACGACATGGATGACTTCAGCGCAGGTCGGCGAATCAACGGATTAGTAGACCGACCGGCGGTAAGGCGACCGTAGGCCCCGACTGGAGACCACCAAATCAAGGCGGAAGACAAAATCAACCACTTTCGCAAACAGAGACACCGAACAAGATTCGGATCTTGATGAAGACGAATAAATCAAGATGGGCGAGTTGAGTCTCGATGAGGACTTCATTGAAAGTGAGGAAGAAACTTAAAAAATNAAGGAATGTCAAACCCGACAACTCTTTGATGTATATAATGTGTTTAATGACTACTTTAGTTTATCTTATGTATATCTTATGTATGTCTTCTGTATATCTTCTATATCTTCTGTATATAGAAATGACTAAATTGGTTTATATTCAGTATATCTATTGTATATAATGCGTTTTAGCTATCGTTTTGTTTTCTCATGTCCATATAAAATCTAGACTTTTAGCTCTCTTTTTGTTTTCTTGAGTTTTTTATAATAATAATAAAAAAAAATCAATTGAGGGTTTTAGGGAGATTTAGGAAGAGGGTGTGGTGACAGCGGGGCCATGAGACCTGGCAGAGTTTATGGTTTGGAGGAACAAAAATGGCCACGAATAAAGGGAGAGAGAGCGTTGAGTTAACAAAATATTTTTTTTAGTAAAATAATGAATCTCGCCACGTATGGGTGTTGGGACCTGTAAGGATCTCATTATGCACAAGTCACGAATTCAAAAAACTACAATAAACCTATGTGCAACCGATTTAGAGTTTAAAACTTACGGCTTCAAATTCACAGACTCTGAGTCGTTGTAGATCTCCGCTGTTGGAAATCGTTTGAACTCAAAATCCGTTGGGCAGTTGAATTTTTTCTCTTCAGACGTCGAGAAGGTCGCGTGGCGGCACGCGGTTAGAAGCAAGTCGCAGAGGTCGGGTCGAGTGGGAATGGCAGCGCTCGGGTCACGTTCGCCAGGGTGATACGCGCGATGAACTCGGGCTCTGCGTGCGGGCCTCGTCGCCTGCGGTGAATCATCGGCACGCCTGGTCGCGATCGGGTGGCCTAGGTGCTTGCGTGAACCATCAGGGCTTACTGATCATGCACGACTAGAACGCAAGCTCGCATGGTCGTCGAGTATGGCGTGGTGATCATCGAGGCTTGCGTGGTTGCCGGTTGATCTCGAGGTCTCAGTACCTCGAGATCTTCTACTGTATGACCCGAAACCTCTCCGTATGTCATGGTGGAGCAACAAAATTGTAGATAAAACTCGAATTGAGGGCGAATATATGTGTGTATATGATGTCTCTCTCCCAATCCCATGAGCTTAATGGTGTATTTATAGAGCTACAGTAGGGACCTTAAGGAGGTGATGATTTGGGCTCCTTAAGTATTGGGCCTAACTGTGGGCCAACCCCACTCTGCTCAATAACTTAAAAAATGCTTCGGTCCACTAACGAAACATTATTACACTCCCTTATCATCCCCAAATTATACTCAAGACTCCAATAATAATTACTCGAATCACCTCTCCATGTTTAAGATATAATGTCCATCAATTAATTCGATTACTGAAAATCAAGAATTAATTGACATCTTGTAAACTGAAGCTAGTACCACTCATCCCATTATTATTATGTTTGACCTTAATCCACTTACAGGGTTTAACATAATAATCCTTCATGAGCTCACTTCGGGGACATCATCAAACTAACGTACATGGTGACCGTAAATATTCTAACAACACATCGTACATGCAACACTATTACCCAAAACATAAAGACTATTAACCCAACAGAGTGGATCTCGCTTTTGGTGAATCAAAGCAATAGCCACCGCATGCACATGCCTATTTATATCTTATCGGTTAAGAGAACGCAGTAATTAACCGAGGCCTTGTTCGTGGTTAAGTTTATTAGTCATTATTTGTTTCTGTCTTATTTATTAGTTTTCCTATTTTATTTTATTTAGTTTGGTAAGTCAATTAGTATTTTATTTTACTTATCCTTTTCTTAGTGGTTAAGTATTTTAGGATTTGAGAACTCTATATATTTATATCCCCCATGAATGAATCGATCAGCTATGATGAAATAAAAATACAATATCTTGAGATTTATCTCTTCTTATTCCCAATCGTATACGCTCGCTGCGTCACATTCCATCCTTTGGAACCAAGACCGTTGATGTTATTTGACGTACAATAATTTCGATATGCCTACTATGAATCCGCACCTCCTAGAATCGATAAACTTTTTATATCTTATTAACCCCCCGTACGTGCCTATCAAGAGCTAACCCTTCTCATTTCCCTGGTACTGAGCGAGTGGAGTGAATCTTGACTGTTTATCTTGCAACAATTAAAAGACCCAACGTCCGAGATAAAATCGTAATTGATACCAACCCGCATATTCTAGGTTGGTCCCGAAACTGAACCAAAATTCAACTTTTTTACGCCAAACCCAATGGAATCGGGACGAGTTCTATTTCGCCCCATACCCATAGGGTCAAATATTTTGGAGGTTTGGCCTGGAATTGACCCGTGTAATGCACATGCCCGGTCCCTTTTTGGCCTAGAACCCTGATCAACGGGCCGAGTTAGTTGGTCAACGGGTATGACCCGTTGGGTAAATGGGCTGACCCGACCCGCGTCAATATCAATTTAATTTACTTTAGTCTACATTTGGATTGAAGGATTTATTGAGGGAGTTGAAATCTATAAATGTAAATTTACAAGTTCAAATCCCCATGCATATTGGGATGAGGATTTCAATTCATGCTAGATATTTTTTAGTCATTATTTTGAAGGATTTTAAATGACTCCTCAAATCTAGTCATTTGAAATCCACTGTTTATCACCGTTGACGACCACGCCGTCCGCGATCATATAAGTTCATCACCACCGCGGGTCAACACCATCGGTGCGAGCTAGACAATTGATTTATAATATTTTCCCATGTTTTAAATACCCTACCGTACCGGCCGGTATTACCGGTGATCCGACCAGTACGGTTACACTTCAAATACCGTTTTGGCCAAAATACTGGTTTATACCGGTTTCATACCGGAAAATACCAGTTTTACCGGCAAATACCAGTCAAAATACCTGTTTATGACCAATTTTTTTTTTTTTTTTTAATATATTTTTATTAATTTATTTATATAAATTGAAAATTCTACACTTAATTTTAATATGTTTACATTGTTATTAGATGTTAATTAATTTTACTATTAGTTAAAGATAGTTTTGGACATCATTTGTATTATAATAACAAATTACTTTAATATTTATTGAAACCGGTAAAATAGACGGTAATACCGATCGAACCGGTTGAACCGCGTACCGTTGACTCATCCGATATGATTACTGATACGATATTTAAAATACTGATATTTTCAACACATTCATTCAAAGAGTGCGCAAGTAAAAAAATAATATTTCAAAAATTTTAAAATCAAGGTATTTCAAATCTCTTAAAACGAACGTAGCCTCAGTGATTTCTCTTGCTTCACACCGACCACCGTCCTGGCTTAATGTCTTCCAACGAATGCCCATTTTCCCATTTAATAAATCATAAAATCCAATAAATAATAACGACTGATTTAAGTAAATAAAAGCAAAAAAAGGCAAAACGAACTTAATTATATTAATCAAACTTACTGAAAATGACCAATAAAATAACAAACTAATAGATGAATGAAAACAATTTGCCCAATCAGATAAATCTGAAAGCGCTTGCCTTCTTTGTGTCCCCCGAGCTCAAAGGTTAAGCGAGAAACAGCAGCAGATCCAGATCCGCTTCAAGCCTTTTCAATTTGGTAAGCTTTTCAATTTGCATTTCTCAATTTGTTGCGTGTTGTAATTTTTCGCCTGCTCATTTATAATAGATCACTGATTCGTTAACTTTTTTCCCCGTTTTAATCGTGATTTCAATGAAAAATCAGCTCTTGATGGTGTGTTTATTCCGTTAGTTTGAGACGTTTGTATTAGGAATGTGTATGGTTCTACGCCCATTTTGGAACTTGTAGTAGCTGATATCTTGTTTGTCTTTCCCACGCACTCACTCATTTTTCTCTTTTAATTTTTATATATTTTGGACAGTTATGGCTTATTTCATCTTGTAAATGTCTGGCTAATATAGTTTAGTTACATATGTTATAATATATTGCTCGTTGATCTTCTTGGATGAGGCAAAACACAGTGGGAAAAAGGCGAAAACTTTTGTTGTAACTTGACTATGCTCATGTGGCTGTCGTACTTCTGATAACAACACGCTGATCTGTTGGTAATGTAGGATAAGGCGTAGATCATGGATGTGATTTCTATTGTAGTTCTTTTGGTTGAATAATAACTGTTACATTGGAGACAAGACACATTTCTTTTATTGTTCTACTTTTACTTATGGCTCCTCGCTCAGTTTAGTTATTCTGAATTTCTGATCCGTTAAAGTCATGGTGAAGCTGGCGATTCTTATAGATTATCAGCATATGTTATTATACACTTGTAAAAGACAAGCTATCATATCTTTTGGATTGTATATATTTTGTGGCTTCACATAGTCTTATCGGTGGTAGGTTCTTTTTGAACTATAAGACGATGTCAAGAAGACCTACAGCTGGTCGCCGCCTTGCAGACAGTGGGAGCCTTCCTTTTGTGGGTTCATTGCACTCGAAATCCCATCCCTCTCCACTCTTGTCTATAGGCCTTTTTGTTGTGGTAAGGCTTGGCTGCATTTATTTCATGTCCTACCACAAATATAGATATACATAAGTGCATGAGCATATGCATGGACACATTTTTCAGACATTACACGAAAACACACTGAAACGTGCACTGCACTTGCATACCTACTTTCCTTTCTTACATACTGCACAATCATGATAATGAAATG